AAAAAAATCAAATTTCATTATAAATTTAGGGTAAAATGTATTCTGCTACATGTCTTTGTTAAAAAAAAAATCCCAATATGTGTAAATTATTTGGTTTACGTGAAGGTTATAGCGTTTACAAATGACGGTATATATACTGGAATTTTTTAAAAAAATAAATTTTACCAGTAATGGCTGCGATCAGCGACTTATAGCGGGAGTGCGGCAGGCATTCTGACACTGAGGGGAACTGACTTGGTGTCACTGACATCCCCAGTGGCACAAATACAGTGATCAGTGCTAATAAAAAGCCCTGACACTGTACTAATGGCACTGAGCAGGAAGGGATTCACATCTGGGGCAATCAAAGAGTTAACTAGGTGCTGTTTTCACATTATGTGCTGTGTGTGCTTTCAACTGTAAGCACACTGCTTTGTATGGCTATGCTATGCAGAGTCATACAAAGCAGTGTGCTGGAGCTGACGGGAGAGAACTGTATTGTTTTGCTCTCCCCGTCGGTAATACTTGGCATTCACCAGCCAAAACCTGGTGATTTACAGCCGAGGCCATGAATGGTGGTGCAGGTAGGGCGTACGCCCCCTGCCCAGAACTACAAAATCACATGTATATATTCACACGTGATTTTGTGCACCCGTACCCCCCTTTAGCAGTATTTCTGCTATAGGGCGGACGGGAAGCAGTTAAAATTACATTATGAGTAGTGTAAGAGATATTAACCTCTTCAATACTAGGCACTTTCACCTTCTTCCAGACCAACATTCAGATTTCAGTACTAGCACAGTTTGATTGAATTACCTGTCAAGCAACACTGTACTCAAAATGTATTTTTTTTTTTTTTTTTTTTTTTTTTGAGAGACAGCTTTCTTTTGGTGGTATTTAATCAGCACTGTGCTTTTTATTTTTTGCTATACAAATGAAAAAAAACAGCATTTTTCTTTTTTCTATTATACAATTTTGCAAATAAGTAAGCTTTCTTCACAAATTTAGGCCAAAATCTATTTGGTAAAAAATAACCTAAATCAGTGTATTTTTAGTCTATGTGAAAGCTATAGAGTATACATGCTATAATACAAATATTTGAAAATTGATCAGTTCTGATGTACTCATTTCTTGAGGCCCTAAAATGCCAGAACAGTACAAATACTCCCCAGTGTCCCCTTTCTGGAAAGTAGACACCCCAAGGGATTTAGAAAGGGGCATGGCGATTTTTTTTAACATCATTTTTCCTACAATTCTTTGGATATTTAAAGAAAAAATTAAATTTTTTTTTTCACACAATTGTCATTTTAACAAATCATTTCTCACAGATGGTATAGGCATAGTTGCAAATACGGAGCAAAAAGCCACTGGCAAGCCGCTATGCTCTTAGTACTTTTTGTTGACCACATATGAATACAGTAAGAAAATTCTAACACATTTTGGCTATACAGCCTTCCTCATAGCATTGTCTTACTGCATTCATGTCTTGTAGCCAATAAAGAGTAACCAGAGTATACCGGGTTGCCAGTGTCTTTTTGCTTTGGAATCATTATATGGGGAGTTGGACGTCCCAGCTTGTTCACCAGTCTTCAGCATGTATTCAAATAGATAACGGTTAAGATTGGGTAAGACTCTTGTATACCTGCAATTACAGCTTTGGGCATTCTAGGAGCATAACCTATGCATCTACTTTCCTGTCACATTTTTGGAGGCCCAGCACAGTATTAACACCCACAAAATGATAACATTTTGAAAAGCAAACACCCCACCCTATTTTTCTAGGAGGTAAAATTAGCCTTTTGATCATTTCATTTTTTCCTCCCACAAGTTCTTAGAAAAAAGTGTACATAAAAGTTTTTCACTTTCTTTCCAAAGTTGTCAATTTATAAGAGATTTCTAATACACAGCATGGACATACTAAGAATTATACCCTAAAATACATTCTGCTACTCCTCCCGAGTATAGCAATACTATACAGTTGTGTTCAAAATAATAGCAGTCAGATATCACCAACCTGATCAATCACGGTTTTTGGTAGAAATAATATTTCTACATGGCAAATAATTTACTAGCAGGTGTAGTAGAGTAATAGAAATCCAACAGACCCAACAGTCATGACACGCATGCTGCTGCTTCTGTGTAATTGAATCACTAATTGAAAGGGGCATGTTCAAAATAATAGCAGTGTGGAGTTCTATTAGTGAGGTCATTCTTTCTTTGAAAAACAGGTGGCAATTATTGCCCTTATTTAAGGAAGGAAGGCAGCAAATGTTGTACATGCTGGTTACAGTGCATTTCTCTCTCAAATTCTGAGGAAAAAGGGTCGTTCCAGACATTGTTCAGAAGAACAGCGTACCTTGATAAGTTGATTGGAGAGGGGAAAACATATAAAGAAGTGCAGAAAATGATAGGCTGCTCAGCTAAAATGATCGCAAATGCTTTAAAATGGTAACCAAAACCTGAAAGACGTGGAAGAAAGTGAAAAATTAACATTCGAATGGATAGAAGAATAGTCAAAATGGCAAGGACTCAGCCAACAATCAGCTCCAGGAAGATCAAAGAAGGTCTAAAAAGGTACCTGTGAGTACTGTTACAATTAGAAGACGCCTATGTGAAGCCAAGCTATCTGCAAGAAGCCCCCGCAAAGTCCCACTGCTGAAAAAAAGACATGTGAAGAGGTTACAATTTGCCAAAGAGCACATTGACTGGCCTAAAGAGAAATGGCGCAACATTTTGTGGACTGATGAAAGTAAGATTGTTCTTTTTGGGTCTAGTGGCTGGAGACAGTTTGTCAGACGACCCCCAAACACTGAATTCAAGCCACAGTACACTGTGAAGACAGTGAAGCATGGTTGCCTAAGCATGATATGGGGATGTTTCTCATACTATGGTGTTGGGCCTATTTATCGCATACCAGGGATCATGGATCAGTTTGAATACATCAGAATACTTGAAGAGGTCATGCTGCCTTATGCTGAAGAGGAAATGCCCTTGAAATGGCTGTAACAACATGACAACGACCCCAAAACACACCAGTAAACGTGCAACATCTTGGTTCCAGACCAACAAGATTGGAGTGGCCAGCCCAATCCCCGGATCTTAATCCAATAGAAAACTTGTGGGGTGACATCAAAAATGCAGTTTCTGAGGCAAAACCAAGAAATAGAGAAGAACTGTGGAATGTAGTCCAATCATTCTTGGCTGGAATACCTGTTCACAGGTGCCAGAAGTTGGTTGACTCCATGCACCACAGCTGTACAGCAGTTCTCAGAAACAGTGCTTATACAACTAAATATTAAGTGATTAAAAGGAAAGCAAAATCTTCAAACATTTTTCAGTTTATATAGTGAATGTTTGCGTTTGTTAAAAAAAAAAAAAAAAAAAAATAGCAGTGTTTGTATTCTTCTTTACAGTCTAATAGTCACTTTTCTTCACTTTTTTTTTTTTAGAGGAACAACACCAATTTGATATATTTTTCTTCATGTTTTGATTTGGAATAGAATGTGTAGTGTTCCCAATGCATTTGTGTGTATGGAAATAAGTTATATTTTGAGCTTTATTCACTTTTTTCAACACACTGCTATTATTTTGAACACAACTGTATGTGTGAGACTTTTTCACAGCCCATTCACAGAGAGGCCTAACATCCAAGAAGCACTGTCAGGAATGGACTTACCAGTGGTGGTGGGATTCACCTGCCTTGTGGGCTGCAGTACCAGGGCTGGCCAGCGGGTGCTCTCAGCAACCAGAGGCTCACTCCTGCAATGAGCCATCACCTGAAGCTGATTACAACAGGTGTATTTAAGGAATGGCCAGGCCTGTGATCAGGGCCTTGGTGTATGTTTCCCATGGGCCCCTGTACCTGCATCCTGTCTGCTTTCTGCCTGATCCAGATTCTGCTTCGATCCCTGACTCTGCATGAACTCTGCCTGTCCTGACCTCGGCTATTCCTGACTACTCTTCCGCCTGCTCCTTTTGCCCTGCCTGCCCGTTTACTACCGACCCGGCCTGCCCGACTATGCTTAGTATTGTTTCTATTGTTATCTGTTGGAGGTTTGGGTTGGTTTGTTTGCACTGTGTTTTTGTTTAGTCTTGCACTGTATTTATGTTTTGTTTAGTCTTAATAAATTGTCTTATTCACACTATACCTGAAGTCTGCGTTTCCCTGTGTCAGTCCACACATTTCTGGTCATACCCGGATCCCTCACAGAACACCAAGGCCATTCCTGACCAGAAGTGGCTGCACAGGGAAGCCATCTTGGCTTATTATTGTTGGGAAGGATGCATCTTGATGAGGTGATATATTTGTCTCTGCTAGTCTTTGATGACAGAGATTATGCTCATCAGACTCTGAAGGCGTATACCAGGGATCAACTACTAGAATGCATAAGGATCGCTCATTGCCTAGTAGATCAGGGCACAGAGTTCTCTGAGGTGCAACCATTGATTCAGGTTTGTGCAGAGTTGGCTTCATCTGATACCTCCAAATGCAAGGATGAATTTTTGCCGCCATTTAGTGTGCCGACCAGGTAGAGTCCCTGGTGTGGTTATTGGAGGATGATGTGGATTACTTCTTGGAGCGTTATTCTGCATGTTCACAACAGGTGCTAAGAGATTGTATAAACGCAGTGCAGTCTTTGACCAGAGAGGCTTTGTGGAAGCTGAGCTTTGTTCAACCCATACTGCAGACATGGTCAGACTTGTTGCACCCAGCATCAGTCAGCTTGCAACGTCATTCCTCTGCTCAAGGCACCCTTCCTGCATCCACGACAGCACCCCCAGTGACAGCCCAGTATACTCTGATAACTACCACATATCAGTCCCCTGCTCCCACTCGCTACAGCTGTAGTATCTTTAACCCTGTAAAGAAGTCCGCTGTAGCAACTGCTCCCTCCTTTGTTCCATCCTTCAGCTCTTCTCTCTGCCTACAGCTGCTCTATCCACTTACAAACCTGTGCTTACTTCCTGCACTCCAGTAACTAAAACCAGGAAAAAGCTAAAATTCTTTCCAACCAATACCATCCTGCCAGTATCCAAATCGGTTAGCCTGCTGTCTGAGAACCCGCCAGGCCTTTCAGCCTGATACCCTGATGCCCGATGACCCAGTGTACCCTACCCAGCTTGATGTGTCTACCCAGCCTGATGGTCCTATTATGCTAGATGACTCAGTGCCCGCTGTTGAGCCAGATGACCCAGTACCCGCTGTCGAGCCAGATGACGACGCCAGATGACCCGGTGCCCGCTGTCGAACCAGATGACCCAGTACCCGCTGTCGAGCCAGATGACTCGGTGCCCGCTGTCTTGCTGTCATGCCAGATGACTGTGCCCACTGTCTAGCTTGGTGACCCAGTGCCCATGGTTCTGCCAGATGACTCGGTACCCGCTGTCCTGCCCAGATGACTTGGTGCCCGCTGTCGAGCTTGGTGACCCAGTGCCCGTGGTTCTGCCAGATGACTCGGTGCCGCTGCTCCGCCTGATGGCCCGGTACCCGCTGCTCCGCCTGATGGCCCGATGCCCGCTGCTCCGCCTGATGGCCCGATGCCCGCTGCTCCGCCAGATGGCCCGATGCCCGCTGTTCTGCCAGATGACTTGGTGCCTGCTGTCATGCCAGATGACTCGGTGCTCGCTGTCGAGCTTGGTGACCCAGTGCCCATGGTTCTGCCAGATGACTCGGTACACGCTGTCCTGGCAGATGGCTCGGTGCCTGCTGTCGAGCTTGGTGACCCAGTGCCCACGGTTCTGCTAGATGGCTCGGTGCCCGCTGTCGTGCCAAATGACTCAGTGCCCGCTGTCGAGCTTGGTGACCCGGTCCCCGTGGTTCTGCCAGATAACTCGGTGCCCACTGCTCTGCCTGATGGCCCGGTGCCCGCTGCTCCGCCTGATGGCCCGGTACCCGCTGCTCCGCCTGATGGCCCGCTGCCTTGCCTGCTGCTCCGCCTGATGGCCCGGTGCCCGCCTAATGGCCCCCGGCTACCCCTGATGGCCCGATGCCCGCTGCTCCGCCTGATGGCCCGGTGCCCGCTGCTCCGCCTGATGGCCCAGTGCCCGCTGCTCCGCCTGATGGCCCAGTGCCCGCTGCTCCGCCTGATGGCCCAGTGCCCGCTGCTCCGCCTGATGGCCCGGTGCCCACTGCCTTGCCTGCTGCTCCGCCTGATGGCCCAGTGCCCGCTGCCTTGCCTGCTGCCCAGCCTGACGTGCCTCTGCCTGCTGCCCAGCCTGCTTCTGGAAATCCTGTGTCCAGCAATCTGCCTTCTTGCAGTCTCCTACAAAAAGATAGGCCTATCAGCAGTAGACCCAGCCAATCGCTTGATTCTGGCAGTGGGATGTCCAGCCAGTTGCCGGACCCAGGCGGTGGAACATTTGGGCCATTACGGACTGTTTGGAGTGTCCTGAGGCCGCTCCTTGAGGAGGGGGGGGGGTACTGTCAGGATGGACTTGCCAGTGGTGGTGGGATTCACCTGCCTTGTGGGCTGCAGTACCAGGGCTGGCCAGCGGGTACTCAGCAACCAGAGGCTCACTCCTGCAATGAGCCATCACCTGAAGCTGATTACAACAGGTGTATTTAAGGAATGGCCAGGCCTGTGATCAAGGCCTTGGTGTATGTTTCCCATGGGCTCCTGTACCTGCATCCTGTCTGCTTTCTGCCTGATCCAGATTCTGCTTCGATCCCTGACTCTGCATGAACTCTGCCTGTCCTGACCTCGGCTATTCCTGACTACTCTTCCGCCTGCTCCTTGTGCCCTACCTGCCCGTTTGCTACCAACCCAGCCTGCCCGACTATGCTTAGTATTGTTTCTATTGTTATCTGTTGGAGGTTTGGGTTGGTTTGTTTGCACTGCGTTTATGTTTTGTTTAGTCTTAATAAAATTGTCTTACTCACACTATACCTGAAGTCTGCGTTTCCCTGTCAGTCCACACATTTCTGGTCATACCCAGATCTCTAACAATCACCTTCAGGAGATCTAGGGTTATAAATTACATATCTAAGTTCCTGACTACCTCTCATGTTTGGAGGTCCTGGAGCATCAGGACAATAGAAACACACAAAAAACACTATATTTTGGAAAGCAAAAACCACACAATGTATTTTCCAATGAGTCTTTTGAAAATTTATTTTTGCCAAACATTTCTGGAAAATGTGGAAAGAAAATGAAATAGTGTACGGTATTTTCTTACATAATGTCAACTTAAGATGTTTCTAAACACACAGCATGGACATACATACACCCCAAATACATTCTGCTACTCCTACCACGTATGGGGATACAACATGTGTAAGATCTTTTCAAAGTCTGGACCATTTCATGACACTGCAACCTGTGTATCACAATAATCAACCAATACTGTATAGAAAACAATGTTCTGTATTCTACAGGGGTGGACTGACCATTTGGAAACTTGGCCTGAGGACCCAGGGTCAGTAGGGGGCCCCATGAGATGCCCCGGTACCTTTTTCATAGGCTTTTTTGAGTTTGGGCAAGGACACAGGGGCCCATGATCCCTTGTTGCCATGAGTTCAGTCCGCCCCTGGTATTATATATTCTGCATGAGTGGTCAGTGAATATAGACACTAGTGTAGCTTTACCTACAGAAGTCCCTGTTCCTAAAAGCCAAGCAGGCCTAACCTATGGCTGCCCCCATAGCACAATGCTATGTACAAGAGGCTGAGCAAAGGGTAAACAAAAGATTCTGCTGGTTCTAGTTGAGTAATTGTCTGCAGAGGATGGGTGGAATTAGTGTCTCACAGAAACATAGCCAGTGGGACTTGCAAATTGGTCAGTACTGGTGCCAGGCAGAGACATAGTCTGTAAGCAAAGTATTGGTCCAGACAGCAGAGACGTGGACAGCAATAGTATGTGTGTGCGTATATATATATATATATATATATATATATAAAAAAAGTGTATGTCCAGGCAGAGGCATGGTCAACACAGGCAAAGGAACATGGTCAATAAACAGGCCGGGGTCTGCAAAGTGGTCATCTAATAGCCAAAGGATTACTCCAGTCAGCAGGGAGAAAACATCAAGCTTAGGGGCATCAGTCAAGTAAGACCTGGACACAGAGCTACACTTCTACCCACCCAGTTTTTTTTTTTAAAAAAAAAAAAAAAACTGGTCTCAAAACCCAGGGAAAAAAAAAACGGGTTCTCCACGTGAAAACACTACTCTGAAGCAGGCAAAAGATCAGTCCAGACGGCAGGCAAAAAATATGGTTGATTAACAGGCAGTGGTGTATTTAGGTTTTGTACTGCTCTAGGAAAAAAAAAAAAAAAAAAAAAAAAAAAAAAAAAATCGGACGCCCCCTTCATGGCAGAGAGAGCCTGACACCGACCAACAACACCCATCCCACCGGAGAGAGCCTTCCACTAACGCCCAACCCCCTCCCTGGCAAAAGATAGAAAGACACCTACACACCTCTGGACATCCTCGGGAACGACAATCGGGCTCTGCATACATCATCAAGCAGTCCCTCTCAGATCACACCTGGTCCCTATTACACATATGTCCCTTCTTCCAGGGGACAGGGCTACTCCCCTAAAAATGCCACCCTAGGCAAATTCCTTGTTCTCCTACGTCCCTGTTAACAGGCAGAGGTCAATTCAGTGTAACAAATATAAGAAGCACCACAGAAAATAACAAGATAAATAATAAGCAGCACCTCTAACCAAAAAAGGTAAAATTGTGTATAAATAAAGAGTGCGCTAATTATTCACAAAAAATGCAAGGATAAATAGAAATAACAAATAAAATCCATAAATATAAACATAAGTCCAGCCACCATAAAAACAGTGATAATCCAGTATCAACTTAATGTCATTCTTGAAACAAACACCCATGTGCAAATCCAACACCAGATGAAATGAACACATTCACCAGAGCTATATGCGGATTAAATTATAAACCAGCATGATAGCATTTTGCTCTGGGAGCAATGATCTGCAGGATATCCCAGTAGAGGAACAGCAACCAATAGTGATCCAATCAGCACATATGGAACAGCTAGGAAGCACATATGGATCAGCTAAGCAGCAAAACGGTCTTCCAATAACATGCGCAAAGCTCGAGGAATCAGAAGAGATATGATGGTGCAGTATGTTTAAACCAGTAAAATTTTATAAGTATAACACTCACAAGGAAGGTGTCTAGCCGACACCAGCAATGACAGCCTCTATAATAAACACATCCACAAGGGAAAAAACCAGGGGAAGAACCTCCTGCACTGTGATCTCACAGCTGACAGCTGGGAGGACTGTCCCGACGTCATGTCCACTAGGCCACACCCAACGCGTTTCGTCACTTGAAGTCTTCAAGGGGCAGAATGGATATCAGATGTCTGCTCATACAATATATACCTATTCTGCATACGAGATCAGCTGCAGTCGTTCAGCAAATCAATCTGATACCAAACTACAGCTCAATCTCTGCAGCAAATAGGAATATGTGGCAATACATACAACAAATTTAGTATGGCATAATCAAATGGTCATAATGAAAATAACAAATACACTAGTGGTCCTATGGAATCATAGGTGAGTATTAAACATATATATATGCTTAGAGTGGTAGCGGCAATAACATAACCTCAAACCTACATCATAGAGCTAATAACAAAACAAACCTCTATGCATAGAAATCTACCACCAAAGACGAAAAATAAAGATAAAAAGTTTTTTATATTATGGGGATAATAACTCATTATCTGCTCATTTAGAGGGCCAAACATTGGAATGGTGCCCCATCCACAAATCTAACCATCCTTAATCTAACCTGAAAAGGTATAAGGAAATCCCCAATAAAAGCCTAAATTAACCTCCAATATAAAATCCCCAATCTAAAAAATGCACCAATATTATTCAATCTGAAATTCGATCAAACAATTGAATAATCCATTAAGAAAAATTCGATCAAGAAAGATCGACCAAAAAAAATATAAAAAATAAAAATGATCGACCTACAAAATTATTCGATCTAAAATTCAATCAATCGAATAATATATTAGGAAAAATTTGATCAAAAATTATCGACCTACAAAAATTGTATACCATATTTTAAATTAAATGGAACAAGCGAGATATTATATTAAGATCTAAGAATACAATCCAACAATCGAATGATAAAAAAATTTGATCAAAAATGATCGATCTACAAAAAAAAAAAAAATACGATCAAAAAATGATAGACCTACAAAAATTATACACCATAATATGAACTAAATGGAACAAAAAGGAAATGACCTAAAAAATTGGTCAAGAAACTGTTTAAAACCCAATGGATTAAACATCGATATTGATCTAAAGTATTAAGTGAATATATCCAAAATGTTTCTCTTTTAGAGGTTTCATTAATCATGTCAGTGCTTCTCCAGTGTTTATTAATCTTATCAATACCATAGAAGGT